CCCCCCCCCCCAGCTTGGCCCCCTACACCCGGTCCCTGCCTTGACCTCTGCAGACATGAGGGTCCTGGCCTGCCTCCTCGGTGAGTGGCCCCCCAGCCTCCTGGGAGCTTGGGACCCCGCCCCTGGCCCCTTCATCATCAAGTTCAGAGACTTGGACTTCCGGGACCCTGTCTCTCCAGGACTCAGCCTTCTCGGGGAACCCAGTTCTTCCCTTTCAGGGACCCAAGGGATCCAGCCCCTCTCCTGACCCTGAGGCAGGGACATTCAGTCATGTGGCCCTCCGCCAGCCCCCTCTGGGGACACAGAGGACTCCATGCAGCGGGGCCCTGGGTCGGTCCTAAGTGGGGCTTGTGCATACACGTGTGTGTGTGTGTCTGTGTGAGCACATGTGTGTCTTTGCATGTTGGGGTAGTCCCAGAAAAGCCTCCATAATGCAGAAAGGGCACCCCAAGGGTGGGCGCTGGCCTCTCACACATCCACCCATCAAACCCCCCCCCCCTTGCAGCAGCACTGGTGGGGATCCAGGCCGTGGGTAAGTTCCCGGCTCGCCTGCCACCACCCACCCAACCCCACGTGGCTTCTCTTCCTCCACCCGTCTCCCCCTTGGCCATCCTGGGTCCCAGTGATCTGGGTCCCTCTCTCCTGCCCCAGCCATCCTGGGTCCTGGTGACCCTGTCCTCCCCTGACCCCCCATCCTGGGTCCCAGTGACATCCCTCCCTCCCTCCTCCCCCAGTCATTCTGGGTCCTGGTGACCCCATCCTCCTTCTGAACCCCATCCTGGGTCCTGGTGACTCTGTCCTCCCCTGAACCCCATCCTGGGTCCTGGTGACCCTGTCCTCCCCTGAACCCCATCCTGGGTCCTGGTGACCCTGTCCTCCCCCGGCCCCCTCTCCTGGGTCCTGGTGACATCCCTCCCTTCCTCCTCCCCCAGTCATCCTGGGTCCTGGTGACCCTGTTCTCCCCCCACCCCCCACTGGCTGACCCAGGTCCCTGTAACCCACAGTCTTGCTCACCTAGCAGCCACCCCCCTTAGGACCTCAGGGTCTACCTTCTCCTTACCCCTCTTTCGGGCACTTTGGGCTCTGCCTGGCTCCCTCCCGCTGGTACCCCTGCCCTTGTCCTGCCCAGGCCTCTGGGGTGTCCCTTTCTGGGGTCAGAGCCCATCCTCGGTCCCCAGAGCAGCTGCGCCTGGCGGATGGCCCCCACGAGTGTGCCGGCCGGTTGGAAGTGTGGCACGCAGGGCGCTGGGGCACAGTGTGTGACGATGGCTGGGACCTGCGGGACGCCGCTGTGGCCTGCCGGGAGCTGGGCTGTGGGGGCGCACTGGCCGCCCCCGGAGGCGCCTTCTTCGGCGAGGGGACCGGCCCCGTGTGGCTCAGCGAGCTGGCCTGCCGCGGGAGTGAGGGGCAGCTGGGCCTGTGTCCACACCGAGGCTGGAAGGCCCACATCTGCTCTCATGAGGAGGATGCCGGGGTGGTCTGTGCAGGTGAGGGGGGTTCCCCGCCCAGGTGTGGACTGTGCAGGTGAGGGGGGTTCCCTGCCAAGGTGTGGACTGTGAAGGTGGGGGGCCCTGCCCAGGTGTGGATTGTGCAGGTGAGGGGGTTCCCCGCCCAGGTGTGGACTGTGCAGGTGATGGGGTCCCTGGCCCAGGTGTGGTCTGTGCAGGTAAAAGCTCCCTTGACCCTCAGGCAGCCTCCTGTTCAGCTCCTTCAGAAATTACCCCAGGACCCAAGTCTCAGCCCCAGTAACTCCGAGGGTCCAGGTCCAGACCCCCAACCTCTAACTCTTCCAAAGCCCCTACTTCCCTCAGGGACCCCTGTCCTAGCTTTGGAGCCCTGGGAGACCAAGTATCAGATGTCCCACCCACCCTGTCCATCCCTGGGACCCTCTGTCCTCTCCCCAGGCCTGTCCCTTCTGGGGATCCCTGTCCTCTCCCCAAGCCCATCCTCCCAGGGACCCTGTGTCCTCTCCCCAGGCCCATCCTTCTGGGAACCCCGTCCTCTCTCCTGCCCAGCCCCTCAGAGCCTTTGTTTCCGCCACAGGCCAGCGTGTGACTACAAATTCCCGGGATGACTCCTCTCCGCTCGTGGATGGCAGCCCGTGGCTGGGGCTGTCTGGGGAGGTCAGCGCGGGGTCAGAGGTGCCTCCTGTGACGCTGGGTGAGCTCCAGGACTCACTGTCCAGCCCCTGCATGGGCTGGCTGGCCTGGCTGTGGTAGCCGGCTGGCCTGGCTTTGGGTGGGTGCTTCTTCTTTCAGGCAGCCCTCCATGCTCCCACCACCACTGCCTGGATCTTGAGGCGTGCCCATCCTTGGCAGAGGAAGCCTGAGTTCCTGACCTACCTGGCTGTCTCTTCTTCAGCTCCCCGTGCGGCAGGGAACCCCCAGAACAGTGGGGGTCCCCGGAAGAAGAGTCCTCGGCCACCCAAGCAGGCTAAGTCCACAAGGGCTCCTGTGCTGGCCACCGGGTCCCCCCGTCAAGGTGAGGTGGAGGGAAGCCAGGAGACCACTATCCCCCAGAACCCTGACTGTCTCCCTGGCCCCTCACTGTCCTCCAAGCCCCTTACTGTCTCCCAGACCATCCTCTCTGTCTCCCTGGCCCCTCTCTGTTCCCCAGACCCTTCATTGTCCCCAGACCTCCCTCTCTGTCCCCCAGGTCCCTCACTGTCTCCCTGGCCCCTCATTCATTGTCTTCCAGGTCCCTCACTTTCTCTTAGGCCCCCTCACTGTTTCCCCAGACCCCCTCACTCGCTGTCTGTCCCCCAGACCCCCTCACCCCTCACTGTACCCCAGGCTTCCTCGCTGTCCCCCTGGCCCCTCACTTTCTCTTAGGCCCCATCTCTGTCCCCCCTGGTCCCCTCTCTGTCTCCCAGGCCCCTTTCTGTCCCCCAGACCCCTCATTTCTCTTAGGCCCCCTCATTGTCTCCCAGGCCACTCACTGTCCCCCGGGACCCTCTCTTTCCTTTGGGTCCCTCACTTCTCTCTCTGTCTCCAGAGCGGCTGCGCCTGGTCTCGGGTACCCACGGCTGTGCGGGCCGGCTGGAGGTGTGGCACGCAGGGCGCTGGGGCACAGTGTGTGACGATGGCTGGGACCTGCGGGATGCAGCCGTGGCCTGCCGGGAGCTGGGCTGTGGCGGAGCGCTGGCCGCCCCTGGAGGTGCCCGATTCGGGCCGGGCTCAGGGCCCGTGTGGATGGACGACGTGGGCTGTGGAGGCGGAGAGCAGGCCCTCCGAGACTGTCCCCGCAGCCCCTGGGGCCGGAGCAACTGTGACCACAGTGAGGACGCAGGGCTGGTCTGCACGGGTACGTGGGTTCCAGGAGCCCCGGGGCTCTTCCCCTCCAGGGAACTTCACTGGTATGTGGGTTCCAGGCGTCAGGGAGCTGCAGGGGGATGGGGTCCCAGTTCTTTCCACCTCCCCATGCCAAGGATCCTCATCTGTGCAGGTAACTACTAAGGCCAAGAACCCCTCATCTGTGCAGGTTGCACCCAGGGCTAAGGACCCCTTACCTGTACAGGCTACACCCGGGGCTAAGGACCCCTCACCTGTGCAAGTTGCACCTGGGGCTAAGGACCCCTCACCTGTGCAGGCTGCACCTGGGGCTAAGGACCCCTCACCTGTGCAGGTTGCACCTGGGGCTAAGGACCCCTCACCTGTGCTGGTTATACCTGGGGCTAAGGACCTCACCTGTGCAGGTAATCCTTCAGGCAAGGGGCCCCTCACCTGTGCAGATGACTGTGGGATTAGGAACTCCTCACCGGTGCAGGTGGTCTTGGGACTGGGAGTCATCACCTGTGCAGGTGACCTCTGTACCGCAGAGACCTCAGCCAGACCAAAGGATGCCCAGGGCCAGGAACCCCTCCTTGCCTTGGCAGATACGTGGGGCCAAGGGCCCTCACCTGCTCTTCAGCCCCCTCCCTCCTTTCCTCCTCTGGGGACATGAAGGAAGCAGGAAGCTGGAATATGGGCTCTACCTTTGGCCAGACCTGGGCCAGGAGTCAACCCTCTGAGGCTCGGTCTTCCCAAATGTGAAACGGAGCCAAGAACATCTGCCTCCCCTGGTGAACCGGGCGCTGTGTGCAAGGAGGCAGGGTCTGTGGCACCTCGATGGACACGGAGGATGAACACAGAGACGCTGGGCTGACCCACGGTGGGGACTGGAGGCTGGTGCACGATGTGAAGGCTGTGGGAACCTATCAGCAAAGGAAGGGCTGACGTCCACCCCTCACCGTCTGGCAGCTGGGAGCTGGCCGTGAGGATAATACTGGGGTGTGAGTTCCTTCTGTGGATTGGCGGCGGTGTCCCAGGCCTCTCTCGGGCATGCAGCTGCCACGTCCACAGCTGCACTGATGCTGGCGCTGCAGCCATGGGCTCACACACACTGGTGGCTGCCTGCTGGCCCAGGACTGGACAGGCTTCCTCGTGCTGTGTGCGAGGTGGCCGTGGATCGGAGCAGAGTCGACGACACGTCCCCAGCTCCCTGACTCACTTGCTTATTGCCATCGGGTCAGAGCTGAGTCGTTGCTGACCCTCCAGCGGCGTCTGAGGCTGTAAACAACACGGGAGGAGACTGCCCGTCCCTCTTCCGGAGGCGCTGGTGGGACTGGCCTTTGCGTTAACAGGCTGCTTTCTACAGGAAGCCTCAGCAAAGAGAGGGTTGAGGATCAAGGAGAAGAGAGGTCAACCCTTGTAATGGGCTCTGCTTTCCGGTCCCGTCTCCATGGCGACCGTGCAAGGCAGCAGCTGCTCGTGCCTGGGGTCTCTGGCGAGGGTCAGGCTGAGTTGAAACGCAAACACAACACCCAGGAGCCAGCAGGTACTCAGATCAACGCCGCCTTTCTTTTTTATTCTTTTAAGAGGTTATTTCATCTCTTATTTCCATGAAGGCTTACAAAGCAGACAATCATCCGTCGGCCTTTTGTTCCATAACATCAATCACCACCGACTAATGTAATTCTTTTCCATCTCTTCAGAAAGGGGCAGTAATAAATTCAACCTCCATCACTCCAGAAAGAATGGACCCCCTTGAGAAAAGGAATGCTGCTCCAGAGTGGGGGTTCTTCACAAGGGCTGATTTTGCCCCTCACATGCTGAAGGGAGAGACGTGGACTCTCCAATGACCCAACTCTCACTCAATAAAGACCCGTTGAAAATATGTCCTAAAGCAACTTGAGATGACTGTCTAGACCAGTGGTTCTCAACAGGGCGGGGGGCACTTTAACTGCTCCTCAGACACCCCCAGGTTCCAGGAGAATTTAACATCTTGGAGGACCTGACAGACAAACCTCTCCTGAGCAGCAAGCATGGGAGGACCTCGCCCTACCTGTTGTGCACGTGTTACCAGGAGGAACCGATCCCAGGGGGCCACCATTCACGGCAAAGCAACGGGCCACTGAAAAAGGGATAGGCCATCAAAGAGATCAACACCGTGGCACGACAGTGGATTCAAACACTGTGAGGCACAGCTGCCCCAGCGGCTCCCAACAACAGCAGTAATAACCACAGCGTATTTGGCAATTACCAAGGATATTATAGCTAATGTTAGATGGATCTTAGCAGACAGCAAAGAATACCAGAAGAATGTTTATCTGTGCTTCATTGACTATGCAAAGGCTTTTGACTGTGTGGATCACAATACGCTGTGGCTGACTCTGAGAAGAATGGGAATCCCAGAACATTTGATTGTGCTAATACGAAACTTATACTCGGACCAAGAGGCAGTTGTCAGAACAGAGCAAGGAGACACTA